AATATTCAGAAAAACTTGAAATAACACAGCACAACTCCGGGGCAATGACTGAATAAAAACTTCTACTCACACACAAAAAAGGAAGAAAAGTACTTTTCATTGGAAAATTATAACACTCAATAGCTATGTGATACATAAAAGTGAAAGAATGACCAAGAAATAACAAGAGAGCATTTTTAGCAAACATGTATTTTTCATCCTTGGTTTGTCCTTGAGCAGAATCTTAACACATTTCCTAACAGATACCAATGGAGTTACCACATGATCTTATAGAAGGAGCCAGGACCACACTGTGGCTCTGCAAGAGAAAGGAGATCAAGATGATAAGAATGCCATCTCTAAAAAGAATAAGAAATGCAGTTGGCTTATATATTTAGAAAAGTGGCATAAGAATCAGCCATGAATGAATTTATGTCATGTGAAACAAGAGCTACAAGAGATGACTGAATGACAGCAAAGCATCTGTGTCCATGATATTTTATGAAAAATCCTTTTGGTAGGATCTTTTCTCCTGAGAAACTGGGAAGTTTCAGCCACTCATGTTTTGCTGCTTTGGAATGTGATTTGGAGAATTGTTTTCCCAGCATGTGAATTGTTTTTACTTGATGATCAATGACAGCCAGCTGTGTCGAGGCTGTGAGCAATCACAAGATTTTGTTATTCCTTCTATTCCTTCCTTTATAGCCTTCTGATTAAATCCTTTCTTCTCTTTCTTTAGTATAATTTTAATATATAATTTTCTTTTAATATATTATATATCATAAAATAATAAATCAACCTTCTGAAACATGGAGTCAAGATTCCCATCTCTTTCCATGTTGGGGAAGCCTCCAAATTCAACACATCTGGATTGCTGTGTTTATTAAATAATTCTCAGAATCTTTCATTTCTGCTGCTCTTGTCTGCAAGCCGGATTTCCACACGGCTTAGAAAGACTAACAGCCTGTGTAGGTATTTGAAAATATGGGATATATAACCTCAGTCCCAAGGAATAGGAACTTATATCTCCAGAGATTTCTAAAACCCTGTGCTACTAAAAGCACACTCAATCCATTCTGGCATTTTCTTTAGTTTCCTGAGGATCAAATATTCTGCTTCCATATGAATGCATACACAAATTCATCATTAATGATTAAGTCTTTAGCTGACACTAATTAGTTTCAGCTATCTGTGTGCTCAGCAGGCCCGACCTACTTCACAGTTCTGCTTCATTAGTGCTGCCAGACTAAAACAACATCAGTAAAAATTGTATTGACCAACAGTGCCCAGCCCCACCACTGAAGGCAGTGTGAATTTAATAAGGGTCACAGCAAACCCCAAAGGCACAGGGAGAGGTAAAGCAGTGGCAGAAGACATCTCCCACCAGCAGCAAGCAACAAAAGGGAAAACCAAAACTCCAGTCCACTTATTCAGCACTGTGCTCTGAAATTCCAATACCACAGAGGGAGCTCAGGCTGCAGCACAGAAGCAATTTGTAAGCTTGGTGCTTCAAGGATATCCATTTATTCCGTCACTGGGGAGCAGCAGCAAAGCTCAAGGTAAATCTGGGGCTGTGCAGGAAAACATTTGGGCAAGCACAGAGAGGGGAGAGGAAGAGGGCTTGGAAAAGAAACCTGGCAAAGGCACTGTTCCACATCTTCATGGGCTGCAACGACACAAAGTGAATTAAGCCACCGATTTAAGCACCTTGGACATGCCTTGAGACACTTCCAATGCAAACCAGATGCAGAAGCTGTTATCCTCTGTAACATATCTATTTATCAAGAGCTAAAACATGTAATCACGACTATGAACATAAGAAACTTCAAACCACACCCCCAGACCCCTTTAAGTTTAACATGTAAGCATTTAAGGTTACATTAGAAGCTAAAGCTAGGCTGCAGCAGGAATAGTCACAGGTATTTTATACCAAACATGGTTTTAACCCACTAGAAGGTTGAATACATCTTCTGTCAGGACAGAGTGAGATTTATTACTTGTGATGGGTGTGTTGCACACCTATAACCTTCCAATACCACTTGGACAGATGCTGAAGTTCTCTTAGATATCTAAACCACCTTCTTTTAAGCAACACACACTTAAAACCTGTAGCAACAGCCTGCATAGTCCTAGCATCACCACACGTGAAGAAAGAAATTCCATTTTTTTTAGAATGTATAAAGAAGATAAAAGCTTTCAGTTCTGTATTAGATGCTTTTGCAAGGAAAAAACTCAAACAAAAAAAAAAGATCACACACACGCACAAAATACCCCAAAACAAAGAAATAAACTAACCACAAGCAGAAGAAGACAAGCATTTGCTGATAGAAAGAAAATAAGAGCAAAATGTGTCCCAGCACTTGTATTTGAAGTGATTTAAAAAACAAAGCAAAAGATCCCTTGTGACAGCAGCGGTGACAATGGCTTGCTAGGTTACAGCAGCAAACAGTCCAAGGGAAGGAGCCACAGAACACTAAAAAAGCAGCAACACCAGAAGCATTTCATGTCCCCAAATAGCCACTAAGGCATCACAGAGCCATGTGAACCTGCTGTCCTCTGTGACTGCCACAGGGATGTCACTCTAGCACACAAAACAACTCAACACACTCACACTGCTGCTCTCAAGGTGAAGGAAAAAAAGGGATGCTTGATTCTGACTCCAACATTTATAGATTCCCAAAAGTGGCAGGGGAATGGAGGGTGACAGTGCCACCTCTCCAATGACACTGGGCAAACCAACAGTCCACCAAACTTCTCCTCCCCCATAAAAAATTGTTAAACACTAAGTTATTAACAGAAAGTGTGTGAGAAAGTTTGCTACAAGAATGCAAACATCAGGAGGCTTAGAAAATCTTAAAAAAAACCGAGATGACACTGGTGTGTTTGTATTTTGCCCCAGCAGCACCTGAGTTTGATGAACTTGCCCCCTGCTCACATGGAGGATTTCCCTTGACAGCATTTCCCAAACTCCTGCACTCCCTCCAGCAGAGTGCACAAGTCTTGGCCATCATCTGCTCCCTTGAAATCAGGACAAACCTTCCATTAAAGTGTTTGCACTGTGTTTATGAACTCCATGAACTCTTCAGGAGAAGACTTTCTGCTCATCCCACCCCTCACTCATACTCTCCCATCAATCCCATCAATTACACTGCCACACCTCCTGGTCTCACTGACAAATGTGGATCTACAACAGTGCTGTAAGGTCAGTTTTCCTTTGAATAGAACAATTTCCCTAAATTGTGCTCCCACAAGTGAGGAGGCTGAGAGCTGGGGCACTGAAGATACAGCATGGCAGGGGCTCAACTTGCTCTGTTTGTCAAACCATGCTTTAGTCAAAGCGTGTAACTTCTTCAAAACATGAAACAGATCAGATATTTTCTGTACTGCCCTCTGCAAACAAAACTTATTTTGTCTTATTTAACTTGGATAAATTAGTGCTTAGAAAAGATCAGATCTTCAGCAGGGATACAACAAAAGTAATCAGCTTTTGTCTGACCTCTCTGGAATTAGAGATTTGCAGCAACTGAGAACCTCCCCTGAGAAGACAGACTGTGTTGACACTAAATGACACAAAAAGCCCATTATCAAACAGTCACAGGGTTTATATTCATTCAGAGAAATAGGCCTAATTTTTTTTTTTTTTTTTTACTTCTTTATAGATTTCAGTGAACTGTCTTATCCAAACGAAGATTTTATTACAGGGGAGACCCAGGGAAAATTTCCAGCTCACTTTCTAACTTTGGTGAGATGCAAAACTCATTTCCCAATGCAGGTACTGCAGGGAAAGTGGAACAGATGGGCAGTCTGCAGGACCCCAGCCAGGTATGACACACTTAAAGGGCTCATTTGTAAAAGCCACTTGGAAAAATACCCCATCTGCAGGAAACTAATAGTCCAGGGAGAACTTATTTGCATGATAAAATGCTTTTAAAACTCTATGTCCTTGTCTAGTTTTCCTTCAGGGATGGATTTCTGTAAAAGTCAGACTGACCATAACAGAACAGTCATAACAAAGCAAGACTGGCTGTTCTGGGCTGGTAATCGTAAATACAGTGCTGCTGTGAGTCATCCCCCCAAAAGTGGTGTGTGAAGCTCAGAGACCTTTCTCTGCCCTTATTCTGGTGAAGAGCCACACATCCCTAACTTGTGAGTGCAGGAAATACCCAAACACTATCCACAGACTCTTTTATTCCCATGGAAAACCGAGGAATTCATTCAAGCTGGGTTTGCATGTTTGTCGGCTAAAAATATTGGAATTTTCCCTGGAACATGATAATATTTCATCTGAGATCACAGACATAAAACCAAATCTGGAGCCTCATTCTGACATCCTAACAGTCCCTTTCCACAACACAAATAATCCTCACATAAGTTGAAAATGTGATCATGAGAGGAACCATATACTGGGCCAGAAAAGAATGGCAAAGAAAAGAGAGTTCATGGTTTGACAAAATTCACATTCCTAGTTTTACTGCATCAATGAATAAATACATATGCAGCTCACTGGGTAAGACCTTACTCAGAGAAAACCAATTAAAATTGAAAATTCCTCTGAAAAAAAACCAAGAAAATAATTATAGCTAAGAAACACCACAGCAGTGTCCCCACTGTGAGGGGTCTTCCACTGCCAGAGGACCAGCTTGCACCCCAAGCCATCACTCTGGGGGCTGACAGAGCAGTTTAAACACCTGACTGAACATTGCATTTCCAAAAATAGGCTTCTCAACCTTTTTTCAGACTGTGAAATGGCTCAGCTATTTCTAAATGCCACAGAATCAAACCCAGTGACATGTGGGGAGAGACACTGTGACAGTAACCTTCACCATCCCTTCCTGAGTGTGTTTGGCTTTTCTTCTTTCCTCTCAGCAAGGCTTAATCTCCCTGTCTGGCTGAACATTAATCCTCTTTCACCAAGTCCCAAACTAATGCTTGCTGTATTAAGACACTGCAAATCCTCAAGGTATAAATTACACCCAATTCAGTATAAAAGGAAAGCACAGGAGCTTGTTTCTCACTACAGCTGGTGCTTCTAGGAAGGCAAGTAGAATACAGGTAAGTTTGCATCAGATCATGATGGAGAAATATTTTTTTTTCATATTGCAAACTCTTAAAGTAATTAATTGCTTCTGAAAAATACATTATACTTGGCTTTTTCTCTCTCTTGCTTCTTTTTCTTTGTCCTTACAGACAGGATAAATTCTCTCTCCAGAAACTTAGATAAATATTTCATTGGAAGTGGTATGGTATTCTGTTATTATTACCACTCTGCAGAGATTGCTGCCATGCCATTTCCATTGCTTAGGAAAACCAAACTCCTTGATCAGTAAATATAAGGAAGATCCATCTCATGTCTCTCTTCTCACTGATGATTCTGAACTCTTGCTGCTATAGAGCCACTTGGGGACAAAGCAGAGACTCAATTTCTCCCTGCTTCTCTAACTATTGGAAATAACTATACATTTTGCTCCAGCTGAGCTCTACTTTTTGCTTTACAGACAGGATGAAGACACTCAACTGCTACGTGCTGCTCCTTTGCTGGAAAGCAATTTGCTGCAACAGCTGCCAGCTCACCAACATCACCATTGCTGTGGAAAGAGAAGAATGTGAATTCTGTATCACAGTGAATGCCACGTGGTGCTCAGGATACTGCTTCACCAGGGTAAGACTCTTCATTTCATGCCCCAGAATTGAATATTTCAAGTAATGGGTGGATACCCCATTCCTGCAGTCCGTAGCAAACGCAGACAGGACGAGCCTTGTGAAAAACACGCTGAATAACTGAGCAACACAAGAGTAGATGCACAGACAGAAGGGTGAAATACTATCACAAAATTCAGTTAATTAACTGGCTGCATATATTATGTGCATAGTGTATGACCACAGTTAGAAGAATTACAGTCTGCATCTCTGCTTTGTGCTCAATTTGTGCTTACAAGCAGATACAATAAAGCAGCCATTCCTATGTAGACTCCTCTGCCCTTTCAAATAATTTACACTCAAGCAATTGACCTGAAAGATTGTCTGGTGATGGGATGACACAAATTTGCTGTTTCAGTCCTCCTGAAAGGGGAAATTTAAAGGTCTAAATCAATTTAGATGAGTCAGACCCAAATGCTTTGGATCTCAGCGGCATTTTCCCATTTCATAAAAACTCTGAAACCTACCCCACAACAAATTTTAAAACTCTTACTTCCTTCCAATTTCAGGATCCAGTATATAAATACCCTCCAGTATCAACTGCTCAGCAGACCTGCACCTTCAAGGAGGTTGTGTATGAAACAGTGAAGATCCCTGGCTGTGGTGACCACCCTGAAGCTTTCTACTCATACCCAGTGGCCACAGAGTGCCACTGTGACAGCTGTGACACTGACACCACCGACTGCACTGTCAGGGGACTGGGGCCAGCCTACTGCTCCTTCAGCCAGAATGGAAGCAGCCAGTGAGGGGCACTGGGGACAGCAGTTTGGCTCTGAGTGTTCCCTGCTAGGTGAAGGTCCTCACCTTCGGTTCGGGTTTCAGTGGAAAGTAACAGGTTAGGTGTATTTATAAACTGCCAAGACTGAAACAAAGATTTTTAAGGCCAAAAATGAAGAGCTACTGACTAAACTCCTCTTCATGCCTTCCTTACTTAACCTATCATTTGCCTTAAAATCATTTCCATAGGTCTATCAAAAATGCTGCTTCCAATCTCTTCTGCCTTTCCCCCACTCTTTATCACAACTTTGTTATTTATATTCCTGTACTTCCATTGCCTGGTTCACAGGGATTACTCTATGCTATTTTGTACTGCCCAGGTTTCCAGTCTTTGAAATCTCCTGCTTTTCATCTCTCCTAAGAGCACACTTATTTTTCAAAGCCTTGCTGCTGGTTGTGCTTCTGCTAGCTGGACTGTAAACCTCCCTCAGCTGAGATCCTGACTCATTTTTCTTTGCATTGTGTTCCATATAGTCATCATGCTCTGCCAATAACAACAGCATGCATATTTAAGAGCCAAAAAATCTATGTTCAAACGTTGAATGCCACCTGAATTCTTGTACTTTCTCAGTAAGGCTTGTTAGCTCAGCCTCACTGCAACACAAGTAACGTGAACTCTGCTTCAAACCTGGCTAACTTGAAGACATCATCAGCTCTCTGTTCTCACCTGAGTGCAGGATGCAACAAAGAGAAATGTGTAGCATTATTTAACACAGGAGTCTCAAAAACCGTTTAGGGATGGATCCAGAGGCACCTGACCCCAGCACAGTGCAGACATGGGGTACTCATGTGCCTTGAGAGCCGTTCACAGTGAATTCTTCAGAGAATGGAAATTCACAGAGCCCTGCAGCAACCCAACTCTGCAAATAGCAGGATGAAGTTGGGTCTGGAAGTGAGCTGGAGGACTGACTGAACCAGCATGGGAAATTACCTCATGTTGTTGAGAAAATTATATGAAGCCTACAGAATGAGATCCTCGGGGGAAAATGAAAATTCTTCACCAGAAACATCCCCAGCACAGGCACAGGATGGAAACAGTGGATTGTGCAGCAGCCTGGCACTGCAGGCTTGGTGGTGCCAGCAGCATCCAGCAGCACCCCAGAGCTGCAGGAAAGTGGGGTGCAAGAGCAGAGCCCACAAGACACAAGCTACCTCCAGCACTCAGCTCCGCACTGAGTGCTTCTGTCTGACAGGACTTCAGAAAGCATTGAAAAACCAGAGAAAACTCACACAAGGAGAGTGAAAATGGGAAAAAAAAATCTTAGGAGAAAAAAGATGATTTAAATAAATGTGGTTGTGTTGCTCAGGGGAGGGAACACTTTGGGAGAATATCAGCAGAACATTTCACGTGCTTGAAGACTGTCAGACAGAGAAGAGCAGTCAGCTCTCCGTGCCCAAAGAGAGCAGAACAAGTGATGGAAGATTCAGAGCAGGCACCAGCAAATCTCCTGAAAGCTGCAGCCAGCCAGTGCAATGAGCTGGGAGAAGGAAGGGTGTGAGTGTCAGGTGTCAGTGAGCACCACAGGGCTCCAAACACCTGGAACCTGTCGGGAATGCCAGGCAGAGCTCATTCAGCAACAGGCAGGGCAGGGCAGGAGTTACCTGGCAGCTCTGCTCTGGAGAGCCCTACAGATGTGTTTATTCAAGGAGGATTTGCCTGTCACTCTGAATCTGTCTTGTAATAGATAACAAGTATTTTAACTTAGCTTTTTTACTAAAGGGTTTTCATTCTCTTGATTTTATTTCTAAGATTCATGTGCACGGACATTTTCTTTGGTCTAGTGAAGCTTTAAAAGTGGCCAAGTACTGGATAAATCACATTGGATCTCACTCATTTCAGTTTTAAACACGAGTCAATTTCAGTTAAAACTAAGCATAATAATATCAGCAATTATTCCATTTTAAATGAGAGAATTGTTAATTACAATTGCAAAACAAAATAGCTTGTAGTAAAAAAGATATCTTTTAAAAAAGTATGTTTTCAAAATAGATCTGTATTGTCTCTTGTGTATTTTCAAACAATAAAAATAATTTTATTCCACTTCTGTTATGAGTCTTAATAAGCCAGTTTTAAAACTTAAGAGTCCACCTGCCAACCTAGTTGTGCTTTAAAAATTGCATTGCTTTTTCTTCCCCTCATAATTTTTTCCCATGTAACCAGCACCGGCAGCAGAGCCATGTCTGGATTATATGACCAAATCACATCAAATAAGACACATCAAATAGTTCAGCCTGATCCAGTAATATGATCATGAAATATTACATAGTTGCAATATAAGAGTAGTGTGAATACCAATAATGATAATCATTAATATTTTATTTAGATTATAGAGATTAGAACCTGTCCAGAGCTGTGTCCATATCTGCCACAAATCAGATTGCACGCAAAAGCAAAAATCCTACAGGTCTCATTTCATCCAGCACACAAATGCACCACACAGTTTCCTTTTGCAAACAAAACTATTCAGAACCTTTTAAAGAAGGCTGGTCAGACTTGAAGATATCTTAGCCTACATTTGATACTTTGTAAGTCAGTATTTACCTTTAAAAAGCTCAATTTGCATTGAATGCCCAATAATTTCATTAAACTTACTTTTACATCAGTGTTTCTGCAAGGCTTTAGTGAAGGCACACATGAGCCATGACTATCAGTACAGATGGCATTCAAATCTGCTTTTTATTATTTAAGAAAAACATTTAAGATGTAATTTTTATGCTTGTCTAGATCTGTCAAGATAAATAAATGGGAACTCTGTCAAAAGGTGAAAGCCTCAGTACAACATGCTACTCAAAAAAGCAAAACCAAAAATCCTACAGGTCTCATTTGAGCCATCATACAAATGCACCACACATTTTCCTTTTGCAAACAAAACTATCCAGAACCTCTTAAACACGGCTGGTCAGACTTGACGATATCTTAGCCCACATTTGATAGTTTCTAAGACAAACTTTACCTTTTTAAAAGTTCAATTTCCATTGAATGCCCAATAATTTCATTAAGCTGCAAAGCTTTATTGAAGGCACACACGAGCCATGAATATCAGTACAGATGGCATCCAAATCTGCTTTTTATTATTTAAGAAAAACATTTCAGAGGTCATTTCTGTGCTTGTTGTCTAGGTCTGTCAAGATAAATAAATGAGAACTCTGTCAAAAGGTGGAAGCTTCAGTATGACATGCTACTCGAAGAAGCAAATTGGTGGATAAGCTTTTAGGAATGTTTCTAATACAGCTAGAAGTAGATTTTGAAGAACTCCTACCATGGGCTAACACATTTCATTGAAATCAAATGGCAAAATATTTTCTAACATGAACAGAACCACTCTGCCAACAGTAAACTTTTCCACAACTACATATTAATTCAATTTTTAATGTCAGGCTCTACAAAGAGACCTTGGAATATGCCAGACTTCAGCCACCAGCCCACAAAATCTAATGTTAGGAGCAGTAAAAATTAAAATGGACTGATTTACTTGTATTTAAGCAAAACTATCTCTTTTCTTGCACAAGCCTGGAAGAAGCAAACTTGGAAAACTTGAATTTATACCTCCTGGTAAAGGCAAACAGCGCAGAGGCAATGCACAGTGTTGGACTGAAGGCCACTGAATGCAGGATTCTCTGTGCTGCAATGAACAAATGCCCAGATGCGTGGTTAAAGTGCAGGGAGAGTGTTCATCTGGGGGCAAATTAATGTTCTCTGTCACTCCTTGTGCACACAGCCTGACCTTGATCTTAGGGGGGCTCTACTGGGGGCCCTCCAGATGTCAGGGTGGGAACACAGAGTGCAGCAGCATCCAGAGCCCTCCCAAGGAAATGACCAGTTAATCCCTTTTAGTGCCTTTTGGTGTGCAAAGCACAGCCTGGTTTTACTGGTTCACATTCCTCACCTTGAGGGCATTAATGAAGCATCGATGTAATTAGCATCACCAAGCTCATGTCAGTGCTCAGCTGCTATTCCCAGCCTAAATAAGTCATTCCTCCAGGCTTAAAACAGGCTTGCATTTGCTTTTTTAATTTATATTATATATAATATACATATTAAATATATATATTATATATACACATTATACTATAGATATTTTCAAATAAATACAGTGCAATATACAGTGCAATATACAGTGCAATATACAGTGCAATATACAGTGCAATATACAGTGCAATATACAGGTCTATTTTTTTGCTTATTTTTGCTCCTTTCTTTTGCTTATTTTGTGGTTTTTGCTTATTTCATCAGACTTCATTTTTTACCACAAGCAAGAAACATAAATGTCCTCTCCCTATATAAACCCAGCTGATGAATAAGAATTCACCAGCCACTCACAAATCCTCAGACAAATCCAGCCTGAAGCAGAGGTAATGACAAATGGTGGAAAACAGGAATGTTTTTGACCAGAAGTCTGGTCAAAAGGAGAATCAGCAGCACTGTTGCCTTGGGGCTGCATTAATTGGGACTATTTAAATGGCAAGGGGAAAGGCACTTCAGCCTGGTGCTCACATGCCATGCTCCTCTTCCACCCTCCCAGCTCAGCAAGGCCATTCAGTTTTGTCAATGTGCAATATTTAGCCACATATTTCCTTTTCATTTAAAAATTACAACTGGAATCTTAGTTGAAACTACCAAAAAACCTGAAAAAAACCAGCTAAACAGCAAATCTGAAAAATTCATTTGGAGAGGGCAGCCTTGAGATAAGTGACTCCCCTCCACTCAGGCAATGCGATCTATGAAATTTTTCTGGGTTTCTCTTCAATTTATGTTATTAACGTGGGCTCTCAGAGCCTTGGTCTGTCAGCAGGACTTATGCTGATAGACATTACAGCAGCTCACAAGGCTACAGTCTGGGAAATAGAGCAAACCAGACTCTGGAGAAAGGACACCCTCCCAAGGAACAAAATGTCAGCGCTGCATTCTGTGTAGGTGGGAAGGCAAAGCATTAACCCCCTGTGCTTCACAGCCAGTAACCATCAGAGCTCTGAATTCACTGAAAAAATGTGGCAGGTGGGTCAGATGTACTTCTGGCACTGTGCTATTCTGTGTGAAACAGATATTATATGTAAACATTGTTCTGTGTGAGAAATAAACCTAATTATGGAGCTAATATGTTTGGATTGCATCAGCTGCAGATGCATTCATTAAATAATGCTAGCGACAGATGTATTATTCAGTCCAAGCCCTAAACTATTCTTAAAATGACAATATTCAAGACATATAACTTAATCTAGCATTATCCAATGGCTTGCAGACAAACTTTTGAAAAATTTAACCAACCAACTTTTCCTTCATGTGTTTACATTTAAATTTTCATTCAAAAATCATCCTCTCTGTCATAGCCTCCTTCTTTCATTACACAATATTGGCAAGACTTGATACTTTTGTGAATGCTGTGGAATATCCCAGTCAAAATAACATGATCACAAAGAAAAACCTTCAGGACGTAGAAAGAAGATTTTTTGGATCAGACACTCTCAAAATTTATGTCACAGTGAAGCAATGGGTTATGGACAAGGTCTATGCCCCAGACAGGAGTCTGGAATCACCAATATCTAGGTAACACAAATTGGGGTATGCACCTCATGCAGCCCAGTGATCTAGAAATAACACAGCCAGCTTGAAGCTAACCCTGCTCCCAGCTCCAAAGCCCTGCCCAGCATGGCTCTGGCCAAATAAATTAATATTTTTTTCCTAAATGATTTCTCCTTTTGGAGAAATACCTTGATCTTGATGAGAATTCTGAAGTGAGCTAATGCCTTAGATGGGAGACTGATCTGCACCGTGGGTGTGAACAGACACAAACTTCACCTCCCTGGCTTTGTTTACACAATCTAGCCTTAAGACAAGCAGATCCTGATCTACAAGTATCTTGATGTATCATATACTTGGATTATTATGTCTGGAACTCAAAACCCCTTTACACTGTGATGCTTAGTTCAGGGACAATGTAAAAGCTCAACCAAATCACTGTCTGGTTAGTCAGCATTTGTTATTCAGCAAGTACAACACGTGGGCTGCCATTTCATTGAGCATTTCTCTAAGCAGAGTGTGGAAATCCCCTTGTCAAATTCCAATATCCAGCTAATAAATTCATAGAGATAATGAAGCTGTGGTACTTGGACAAATATTCAGTACAGCCCCACATCACCCCTAAAAACAAGCACTGTAATTAATACAAAGTGCGTTTGTCTGTAGTGGTATTACAGACTCATGGGAAGCACTCAAAGAATATTTATTTCCATCTATTTAACATGGTTTTATTTTAAGATTAGGACAGCCATTTAATTTTGCTTGCACTGTGTTGCTTTAATAATAAAATTAATTTAAAAAATAGAACAAGAGGAATTCTTGAAATGAACATTATATCATAATTAGTAACCCCTAAATATGAATTTCAGTGCTTCAAGGGCTAAATATTCAAGGGCTTGTGATCTCCTTAAATAATTCAGTCTGCATCCTTCCAGTAGATATCTGAACCATTAAATATTCACAAACACTTTGAAGACTGGAATAGTGTCAGAGCTCAAATTAGAAAAATTCCCTTTAATGTCACCCTTACCTTAATTTCTGCCATCTTATTTCAGGTTATTTCCCCCACCTCTAACTAGGTAATACTGATAACACAAAAAAAGGATATCCTCTTTAGAACTCAGTCGTCTGAAAGAAACAAGCAACTCTGCTTTTGACTTACAACCCATTGCCTTCCAAGCAGGAAGAGCGGCCTGCCCAAGGATATGGCATGGATAACAGATTGCAGGGCCTCCCAGCTTCTCACTCCAGCAAAACAACATGAAAACACAATTTTAAATTAATAATATTACTGCACTGCACCAGTCAGCTAAATCTCACTGTCCTTTCACTGCCTTAACTCACGCTTAGGATTTCAGGCTGTGTAAATCCCTTTAAGACTTCTGTTCAATGGCAACAAAAAAGGAAATCCAAAAAA